GGAAAAATGTCTGAAATCGACAATAATCAAAAAAAAAAAAACGTTCCAAAACGCTTTTTATTTTGTCGTATAGAATATTCTTATTAGTTCATCTAATAAATTGATATAAACAACCATTTGTACTGTATAAATTTTGCAGATTGACATACAAAGCAACATAAAACAGAACCAATATTATATGGAAAAAATATCTGTAGTGATTTAATTAATTTCTGGTTAAATCGTATTTAAAGTTAAGAAAACCAACATCGATTTTTATGAAACACGTATTCATTCAAAAAAATTTGGATTATAGTAGGACTTAAGGATTATAGAAGTGCTTTGACCTTATTTATTTGTAATAAAAATGGTATTGCAGATTTCCTACATCAAGAAAGTACATCTTCTGAAATAATCAATTTATTGAGAAAAAAGTTTTATATAGAAGACCTTGATCACTTTTAATTATAAAGTGTGCTTTTGAGAGAAAATATAGAAAACAAAAATAATTATTTAATGGAATTAGTTATAAATTGATAGCATTTCATTAGTCATCTTATAAAGTTTTGCATCGTGATGAGCTTAGATGAGCTTGTTGTAACTTTCGCTTTATAATTAAAGTTAATAATTTATTAAATATATCAGTTTGTGAATAATATAATTGCACTTGTCGAAAACAATTAAAAAAGTTGTGTGAAGTACTAAAAATTTAAAAAACGATTTATTAAACTAAATTGTTATCAGGAATTCGTTAATTTCTGATTCTCGATGTTGATATTTCACTCATATCTTTCAAATAACAACTCATTTCTTAATCAATTCTTCGAATCTATTCACATACTTGTTAAGGGAAAACCAATGTATTAAAATGGTATAAAGAACTCGTGTTACCACTTGTTGTGTATTTTATAAATATATTTTTACATCGACTGGCAATTATTACGAAAAGTTAAAGATTTTTTTATTAATTTCTAAAACTAATTAAAATATATGAAATTTACATAAATATGTAGTTAAACAGTAACTGGCTGCAGTGAAATCAAAGTTATAAAAATCATTTTCTGCTTGATCGCAACTCATAGAGTGAAATCGATTAATGTACGTGGCTATATTGATTTGGTTGTATTTCTATCTGCGATCTGCGATGGAAATGAATTTGATCAAATAAATCAAATAAAACTTAAAATTTTTTATTTCCAAAATTGGTTCATATTAAAAAAAAAACAATCCATATTTATAAATGACATAACAAAATATATTTATAATTGATGGAGAGCTTTTTTTACTTTACGACTGCTGAAATTTATACATTTCAAATATTTTGTATATGAAAGTTTTTTGCCTTTAGATTAGAGGGTGTTTGATAGTATTGTAATAAAAAATCTTGAAGTTTAAATCGATCTTTAAGTTATTAAAGTGCTTGGCCAAACTACTTTATGTATAGGGTAGAAATTGCTATTGTTGTTGTTGTCTTAACCCATTGGAATCTGCTTGCAGATTCCCTTTGGGAATGGTGTACAGCACTTCGTAGTTGACGAGTGGCTCCGGAACGTAGACCCGGCCGTTCTTGGAACCAGAAAATTTTATTACATATCATTAGTTACATAGCCTTTAACTATATGGCCATGCAAATGTAGTTAATTTAAAAATACTGTAGAGAGCTTAATAAAAATTATTACAGATTATAAAAGAAGCACCATGTCATATCAGAAATTTAAAATCCACAAAGAATTTCAAGTAGGTATGGTGAAATCAAATTGCGAAAAATTGTACAAATATACTTTGAAAACCTAAACGTATCATCAAACAGCTTAGTTTTACAACTAGCAAACCTCACGAGCAGATCTAAAACTATTGATAATATGCAAGGGTAACTTAAAATTTGATTGAATGTGTATAATATTTTGTATATAATGTAACCCAACATTTAATAATCATGAGATTTATATTTATTTGTAACCATCAGCATTGATATTATTATTTTACCGGTTCGCTTACAATTCTATGATTTTCTTGTAGAATATAGAAGAGTATAGAAGAGTAGAGACTAAATCCATCCCGCCGAATTTAGATAATTTAGGTCTTTTATCTTCACCGTTGAGCAGTCTGATACACCAGTACACCAATGACCAGTAAGAACTGCAGTAAGCATTGCAGTGTTCACATTGCTCTTTTGATGAGTTTTCATGTTTATTATAGTAACTGCTTTTCCTAGACCTATGATTTGTTATATGGTGCATTGTCCTAGTGAAAGAACACTCTTTCAATTGCCATGTCAGAACATTTTTTGGCAATTTATTCCTTTTGTTCCTTCAAGCGTCCAAATAACAATATTTGTTATTGATGCCTTTTTTTGATCAAGTCAGTTTATAAGCATTATATCGTATGCTTCTCGATTTTACCGATTTCCAATAAATCCCTACTTCCAGAATATGTAGTTTTATACACACCTATAGGAGTGTATTAGACCACATATTTTGTGGGCATGTGTAAGTTTGGAATCTACCTAATATTTACCCATTGCTGGTTTTTGCGGTATTTTTTTCTCACATAAATACAGTGTTTAATTAACACATAAAATTGTTATTTTGTTTTTATCTTTGGGATTTAGCAACTAAATTGGGTTAGTCATACTATTGGAAAACTTAATTTGTTCAACGTGTTTTTTCACAAAACTTTGCAAAGCTGATTTAGTAATGTATTAACGACAATTAAGCTTATAATTATTCTATATATAATAATTTCTTATGTTAACTCATGCCATAATAATTACAATTGTTTATAAATTTTAATTATAATTTTCATATATTAACTTCGTCTAATGTTTGCAATACAGTGAAAGAAATGTTGAAGACGATTTAAACTATATATATTCATGATTAGCACGTCTAGCCGAATTGATTTTACGGTCAGCGCCTAATTGCTTTTCTACAACACGCAGTTTTGTCAAAATTTTAAATGTGTTGGAACTGTAAGCAGAAGAAATATGCTTACATAGAGAGGTGGTCGTCTTTAGTTTATAATAGCAGTTTGTAGAGTATGGTAATTGGAGGCAGAGAGATATATTAAACCAGATTATAACTTTGTTTTGGGTTATTCGAGTGTTGAAAAAAAATTAAACGTTGTATACTTGGGATTGTTATTCGGGTCTCCCAACTCTAATGACCATTCCTTGAAAGCATTTCATTATATCTTTGGTAAAATAGTCCAAAATAATGTAGTTGAATTTGAACGCGTAAACGTCTTTTATATACTAACTATTTGAAATACTATGTTTCTCATAAAAATGAAAAGAGGTGTTTTAATTTTTCAAATAAAATTGTTTTTGCCAGTGTATACAAGCAGAGTTCATGTTTATGTTCATGTTGAGTCTTTTTTAAATTAGTGCATCTGGGCACTTTTACTCTTTGATAGCTGGAGAGTTTCTGCAAATTGTGAAGAGATATTTGAAAATTATTTCCGAATTGTTAAAACAATATTAAATAATTATGTCATAGAAAGCATATTAGAAAATCTAAATATTACAGAATAACAAATTTTAATTTCTGTACACAAAAGCCAAAACCAAAATAATGAAAAGTCTATTGTAAAATATTTCGGGATATACCTTATCCCAAGGTCATACCTGGCAAAAGCATATTTAGAAAAGGAAAACAGATGTGACTTAAATTAAAAAATTTGCATTATTTTAATTAGATATTTATCCGCTGCAGATAAATCGCATCAAAGTCAAATGTAAGAATAATTTAGTAGTTTCAATCGAATAAAAAAACTCCATTAAATGTCACGGACAATAGTGCACGACAAAATTTGAAACAATGCACAAGAGAAAGCCACAGGTACTTCTCAATCCAAAAGATAGATTACATCAAAAGATAGATAGATCGGTAAAATTGTAGTTTATTTTATTAAAATAGAAGTTCTGAGACGAATCGCACAGTTGATGTTCATTATGATAGTACCGATAGGCTTGTTCATGTAACTGTAATTTTATTTTTTGACCTTTTTATGGACACATGAAATTATGTATATTTTAACTAATTATAATATATTATATAGCATAATATAATAAAACAGAGAACATTTCAGTTTAATTTTTAAATGCTTAAAAGAAAATATTTTAAAAATTTATTTTTATAAATTCAGCAAACGCATCTCGTGTATTTATCTTATCTGCGTTGGCAAATTAGAAACACGAAATAGTAAATACGGAAATATACTTTTTTTTTTAAAAGAAATGATCGTATCTATTAGTGCTTAATCATTGTTTTTCTGTTTATCTCTGTTGTAAAAATTAAATAAATCACACTCTCTCTCATTATATTAATCAATTAATTTTTTTTTAAACAATTCGAATAAATAAAATTTTTTTCTTTGTAAGTGAGAAATTAAATGATTAAGTAAATAATGAGCGAAAACTGGCCTACATACATATATTTATATACACAAATAAGTATATAAATCTATAAATCACATAAATGACATTTTTATATTACCTTCCTTATTCGTGTAGAGCGGACAATATAAAGATATTGCGCACGTGGGCATGTGAACCACTTTATTCGTATACCTGCAAAAAGACACTTCCCCTATTTGAAATTAAAAATATGAGTTCCAAAATATTATTTCAATTAAGTGATTATGGGTTAAATTTTATAAATATTTAGAAATATAAATTTACATAAATGTATGAGGTATTTATTTAAATGTGTATATTATATTATACCTACCTATATATTCACCTATATAATATATACCTATATTATATTGTTAGAAATTATTGTAAATCAGATCCTCATATCGTTTGGTCAATTGTAGTTTGTCAATCATTCATAAATTCGAGCACCTTACATTTATCTAATCTTTTTATTGAATTTAATTTTGAAAAAGTAACATCATATATAATACAATATCTGACCGACCATGTGTTGTTGATTAAAATTTTTGTAGATTATTAATACTTGATTATTTCAAATTTAGTGGAGATACAATAATATTACTCTCATTGTTTCTGTTTCTAGTTCCAACATGACGAATGCGTTGTTGATTTCGCTAATTAGCGCTTTGTTAGTGACTGAAATTTTTGCAAACCCTCTAAAATCTGCTCCAGCTACTGAGTTTATAATTCTGCACAATAATGATATGCATGCTCGCTTCGAACAGACCGGTAGAGATAGTGGAAAATGCTCACCAGAAGATGCTAATACAAACAAGTGCTATGGTGGCTTTGCTAGAGTAGCTTATGAGTAAGTTTTTTATCATATTTATATTTATTTTTAATATATAATATTATAATATATATATTAATTAATATATATTGTGTAATATACTTACTTCATTTTAAATTTTTCAAAGGGTTCGCAAATATCGCGACGCAGCGAAGAATGGTGGAACCCCAGTACTTTATTTGAACGCAGGTGACACATATACAGGCACACCTTGGTTTACTGTTTTCAAGGACAATATAACTGCAGCCTTTTTAAATAAATTGGAGCCTGACGCTATTGTAAATAATTGCTTTTAAATTAAAATTAATTTATTCGTATTACTTATGTTATATTTTAATCCACATCAGTCTCTAGGTAATCATGAATTAGATGAGAATGTTGCAGGCTTGGTGCCTTTCCTCAATGAGGTGAACTTTCCTGTATTAGCTTGTAATTTGGATCTCACTGGTGCACCTGAAATAGCAACCACAAAACATTTTGCGAACTCCACGATACTAACTGTCAATGATGTGAAAGTTGGTATTATTGGATATTTAACACCAGATACGAAATTTTTAGCATCTCCAAATGCTGTGGAATATAAACCAGAAATTGATGCCATAAAGTAATTATTATATATGGAAAAACTTAATATGTTTTATAAGCATTAATATATATATTTTTTTTTGTATTTTAGTGCTGAGGCGAAAAAATTGAAAGCGAATGGTGTTAATATTATCATTGCTTTGGGACATTCTGGCTATCAGAAGGATAAAGAAATTGCAGAACAATGTCCTGATGTGGACATTGTTATAGGCGGTCATACCAATACATTTTTATATAATGGTACGCAACCTGATATCGAACGCATTGACGGCCCTTATCCAACAATGGTGAAGCAAAAAAGTGGTAAAAAAGTACCAGTTGTTCAGGCATACGCTTACACAAAGTATCTTGGTAAATTGCATGTACAGGTGAGAACTATATTAATTTTTTTAATTGAAAATTTTAATCACGAAAAATTAATTTGCATAAATTTTTTTATAGTTTGATAAAGATGGAAATCTTGTTAAATTTGATGGTAGTCCAATATTATTAAACGCGTCAGTTCCTCGAGAAAATGATGTTTTACAATTATTGGAACTTTATAGACCGAATATCACTGCCTTAGAGCAAAGTGTTGTGGGGCATACTAAAGTCTACCTGGAAGGCAGTAGTAAAGTTTGTCGTAAACGGGAATGTAATTTAGGAAACTTAGTTGCTGACTCAATGGTGCATGCACGTGTTTCTGAAAATCAGGGCGGACTTTACTGGACAGATGCAGCGATAGCATTTATAATGGGAGGAGGTAAATACACCATATCAATTTTATTGTATCAATTATTTATTTATTTGTTTTTTTGTTTTAGGAATACGTAATTCGATAGAAAAACGTTCTGATGGTTCCATTACCGAGACTGATGTTATGTCTGTTTTACCTTTTGAGAATGATTTGTATGTTACAAAAGTAACTGGAAAAACTATTCGCAATGCTTTATTACGCTCTGCAACTATACGTGATAGGGATTCAAATGGTGGATTTTTACAAATGTCAGGAATCCACGCAACATACGATTATAGTAAAGATGATACTGTGAATGTAACATCAGTAGAAGTTCGATGTGCAGATTGTGATGTTCCTATGTATGAGGCATTGGATGATACAAAAAAATATAATATTGTTTTGCCAAGTTTTTTGTTGGATGGTGGAGATGGACATGTATTCCGTGAAGAAGGCGTTATCCCGATACGCTTACAAAAGAATGATTTGGAGGCACTTACACAATATCTAAAGGAACGTGAATTTATTTATCCAGAAATTGAGGACCGATTAGTAATAATTGAAAAGTCTTCTGCCATTACATTAATTAGTTCATTATCAATTGTGTTGATTAATTTAATAGCTTTGCGTTTAGTTTTTTAATAAAATATTAAAACATTGCAAATTTAAAAACTTAATAAGAAATGCAGAAGTTTGTTTTTAACATTAAGTTATATTTAAATTTAGAAGAAAACTATATGTAAGTTATCTAAATAACTTATGTAGGTTATTCAAAATTAGTTAACTTATAAATCTTATATTATATCGAAATTTTAAGTTAAAAGGAAGAATGTTGGTTTTAAAGCTATTTAAAAATAATTGATATTGAAAGTATTTGAAAGTAAAGTACAGTCATAGTTGAAGAACTACTATATTATAATAATCATAATGGCACTGTAGGCTACAAAATTATTTTTGAAAAATTAGGCTTGATTGGAGTATGAAACTAATGTGACAAGAAACTGGTACTGTAATAAATGCGATAAAATAATGAAAAAGATATGTATATGATATGTATAATTATTCTTAACAGCATGGTGTAGATAACATATATACTATCACATTACTTATCACTGTCACTTCATGACAGTTTAATGAATATGATATGTATCTCTACTGTTTAAACCTAAAGATAACGTTTAAAACATATTTTATTATACAAGTCTTATATTAGTTGTCATAGCAATAAATCAATTAATCAGTTGACATAGGTATTCAATATATAAATATATGTAGCAAATATACAATTAAAGTTAAGATAATGCTAACAAAATGTAAGAAGGGATTTTCTGAGTAAATATTTCTTTTTTAGCTGACAGGCTTTTTCTTCTTTGTTGGCTTTATAGCTAATGTATACATTGGTCTTAAAACATTTTTCCAATCCTTACGTTTTTACACAGCTTTTTCCCAGTCATTGACGGAAAGTAATTTCAAATGTGTTTCACTCCATCATGCCAGCGGTATATTCTGGGTATCCCAGCGTTCCCCTTCTGTAAGGATTTCTTAAGCATGGATAAGGTATTGAAGAGTGTTTTTTTTTATTATAATGAAAAATGGGAACTAGTTTTTAATTATGATCTGTTAGAAGGAGTATCCTAACTTGCTGTAAAGGCTGTATGATAACTTTTTGGTAATTAGAGGCTTTATTTATTAATTAGAGGCTTTATTTCTATTTATTTATTTTATTTTATTTTATTTATTTATTTTATTTATTCTTTTAAACAGTAGGCAAGGATTTCAACCAATAGTTAATATTTCAAGTAAATCTTCTTGTTAGGAACTATTTATTGCACAAAGAAATTTTAGTCATGCCACTTATATGGCGACTGTTTTATTATTATAAAAATATATTTTATATATATATAAAGATATATATATATATATATATATGTACATATGTTCTCTGTAATATCATTTTTTAAGTTTTTTCCAACGTATGAAATTTTCCAGATGTGAGTTTATGGTTAGAAGGCAGGAATAAATTTTCAATATACTTAAAGCCTGATTGAAATGTTTGATTAAACATATGAATTTGTTTTAATACTTCAACAAATTATTTAATTAAAAATACCCCAAAACTATGCAACGAACTTTAAATTGTTTATACTCGTAAATATGGTATCCGAAAAATTATACTCTGTATAAAAACAAACATTTACTTGTGTTCAAGTGATGTATCTTATTCTTGAATTTTTTTTAATTTTTATTAAAAAATAAATTATTTTATTTATTATTAAATAAAAAATTTAGTTTGAATTTTGCATATTAAATATTATGTATTGTATACAGTTACAATATAATAGATGATTGATAAGGATATTATTGAAAATGAAAACGTAAAATAATTTTAAAATCGGTTTAGTTTTTTATGATTTTAACTTTTATTTCGATCGTATTTTTTTGTATATTTCTAAACGTATTTCGGCAAATTCGCGTTTGCCTTCATCGGGAGAATTTCTTATATTAAAATCATCTATGCAATTTACAAACTATTTTTATTTATTACAAGTATTACTATTTAATTTTCATAAGTAGGGTTTTTTTCCGTACTTATATGTCCTTGTCCTTGCAAAAATATACAAGGACATATAAATAGTTTGTAAATGGCACTGCGACCGTCACGTCTATTGTGCCCTCTTCTGGGTTTAGAGTAGGTCTCTAAGCCCTATTGCGTCAGTAAAAAGTCGTATAACACTTACTTTACAGAGTTTTATTGTCTCTGTTGCATGTAGCATTTATAGAATCTATAGTTTGCATCCGTATGTATACTCATTGTCGTAAGGTGGTATTTTAGTTTACAATGCCCTGTTAGGATTCCTGTTATGATTCTAAGTTTTTCTTTTGCAGGTTCATACAATCCTGTTATCTCTTATAGTTATAGGACCCACTACTAACGGTAAGGTTGTAAAAAATTTGACTAAACCAAAAAAGCATTGCGCAATATTTTATACAATAATATTTACTAAGGATTCATTTCAACCGTAAAATATAATTTGTATGAGGAGTTTAAATTTTTTTATAATTTTTTATAGAAATAAAAAAAGTCCAGAAATTAGAACTTTTCGTAAATTCGAACTACTCGAAAAACTAAGTGCTTCTAATTTATGCGCTTCTACTGTGTTATGCGTTCACAGGAAAGAAATAATTATGGTAAGAATTTAATGAATTCGGCTAGATATTTATCCTTCACACTATATTCTTTTTTCTTCTCAAAGTTTAATTCCAAGCGGCTTTTTCTTGATTTCGAACCTTTAAGAATTGTTCATCGAAAATAAACAATTAACACTTATTTTAAGAAATCCTTAAAGATTCATGAAACTTTAAAGGAATGTATTATGTGATAAAAAAGCTGTGCAGACAGAAAAGAATATCTTTCAATTAAAAATTAACAGAATTTCCAGATAAATACTCGCTAACTACCATTTCGTCAATACATGTATAAAATAGCAGATTCAGAGAAAAGAGCAAATTAAATAGCAAATAGTTCAAAGCACTCAATCAGATATTGCATTAATCCATAAATTTTTCGGGTGTCTTTGATCGAATAAGATTGTAAATATAAACATAAAAAATTACGATAGTTGCTTGAATACTTCATTCTGTATATGAAAAGAGGTGAACTATTGGCCTATGTCTATCGTCCATTTCAAATGCTTGCAAAAAATCAACTTCATATGACTGATGTATTCATACTTCATATGACTGATGTATTCATAAAAAATAATTAATAGGGTTTGTGTGAGATTTTAAATTAGATTCGATAATTAAATAACATGATAGTTTTTATAATAGAATTCTACGATTACTACGAATACTATGAAAATATCTGTAGTGTTATTTTATTGTTAAGAAGGTTTTTATGCACAAAAAATCGTTCACTTTATTTGTTTTCATTTGAACGAAAACAAATTAATACAATATTTTAAATCTCTGGCTATGGAGTTAAATTGATGACTTTTTTGTTTCCCTTACCCACTTCGCTCTATAATTAAGTTGATGCTTGGTCTCTTGGTTCTCTGCGGTAAGAAGCGCTAGAGCTATTCGTAATGTGTTTAGCTAATGAATCAAGTCAATCAATTTAATTTGACGGATTTTGCTGCTTGTCATCACATTTCGTAGTTACTGTTATATAATCATTAGTAGAAGAGACAATGACCCAAAAACTTCGCCGGTAATGCTTGTACATACTCGTTAGTATTAGCAGATAAATTCTTCAGGTCAATGGCTTTTTGTTAAAAAAAATTTAGTATACAATTTTGTAACTACAAACAATAGAAAAGTGTGCACTAATCTTTACATATATATATACATTCATGGGCGTACCAAAATGAATGCAAGTCTACCTCTTTAATAGCTTGCCGTTCGGATTATGGTAAAATAAATAAATAAAAAATTTAAACTTTTGATTTATCGATTGCTTTCATATTTCTTAATTCAAATAAAAGTTCTAGTGAAAATAAAAATATGCAGTTACAATTTAATATGAGATGTGTTCTCCCTTTTAAAATATTCCTACACCCATGTAGACGAATTTATATGGGATAATTTATAATAACAAATACGGGTAATTATTATAATTTGTATATAGCGTGTTAGCTTTTTTGTTTTAGATATCTTGGAATAAATTTGTAGCGAAAGCAAAATATTAAAAACATAAATGTCTGCTTGCACGGATATATAATTAACAGAACAGAATCCAAGAATATATAATAGTATGATGGCAAATATTTTTCAATCTTTACATTTTTAGTATACGATCGAACCAAAGTTTTTACCCATGCAAGAAATGTGAAGAAAACCAATGTTTTTACCCATGAAAAAAATATGAAGAAATTTTCAAATGTAAAATAATTTAATGTCTTGAAGGCATTTACACTATCTAATGAAATATCAAAATATAAACGTCCGGTTTTGAGTTTTTAAGAGGGATACGTAAACCCATCGCAAAGGAAGTCATAAAGCATCTACATATATAACAGTTTCATCCCCTCATATTTCACATACGTAATCATAGCAAAAATAGGTTAAGGTGTTTGATAAATTGTATTCGATTAAAATATATCTTAACTAATGATGATTGTAGGTATAAAAATTATTAATGCTCACGGCTGTGACTTCACAAAGCGTTTACTTACATAAACAACGTCGTATGGTGAAGTAACTAAAGTAGAAACAGTTGAGCTGTTTCTCTATTATTATGTCAGTTTACATAAAACCAGAATAATATATCTGGGCCTTCATTTTTGAACTTGTTATATAATCGTTCTATACATTTACTTCTATTGTGAACACCAATAATACTTTTTTCTTAAAAATAATCATAATTAATATTTTACAAACAAACTGATACTAGTGAATCTGTGACAGATAGTTGAATGATTTTTTATATGAAATTATTTCAATTTATTAGACTCAGAATAATATTTTCAGATACTTCATATTTTAAATTGCTATGCAAATGCTTCAGACGTTTAATTTTATTTTTTAACAATACCGTTTTCTATTATTTGTTAAATTATTAAAAAATTTTGCCATTTCATATCTTGTAAAATTGTAATATCTTCGCTGATACTTGAGTTATAACCTAAGTCTCGACGAAGAGAGGGTATTTTATTTCGTATACTACATATTAATGTTAG